GGGGGGGGTAGAACTTGTTTATATTAGTATTTTAGTTATGGAATGGTGTCTTGAGTGTGCTTTGTAAGGGCTGAATTTTGTATAGGGCATGGCTTTTTTTAGGTCACCTGAGACTAAGTCTCAAGTGACCTATTGCGATCGCCTTTTTTCCGGCGTGCGTCCGTAAACAATTTACATTTTCGACTTCTTCTCCAAAACCCCTGAACCAATTTCAATGAAATTTTGCAGAAAACTTCCATGGCCAAAGGTCATCAAAATTAGTGGCCCCAGGGTCCTGAGGGACGGGGTCAAAAAGGGTCGAATTGACTGAAATTTCAAAAATCTTCTTCTCAAGACCAAGATATGGTAGAATCAAACACTCTTCATAGGTGGAAGGTTCTTAAGGTTTATGACCCTAGGGTCTCACGTTTCCCCTTGGGGGGGGGGGGGGGGAAAAAAGGGGTCAATTTGACTAAAATTTCAAAAATCTTCTTCTTAAAGACCCAGATATGGTAGAATCAAACACTCTTCATAGGTGGAAGGTTCTTAAGGTTTATGACCCTAGGGTCTCACGTTTCCCCTTGGGGGGGGGGGGGGGGAATTTATTATGGTTTATAATGGCAAATGATACTTTGAATATTACATGTTAATAACTTGATTGGAATTATAACCCTGAGTTGACAGTTTGATACTTTGAAAATTTTGAGCCAGCCCTACGCCAAGGGCTGTAGGGTGGGGCCCAAAGGAGTCTGCTAAAATTTCTTCATTTTCCTTGTTTAGAATCAGAGGTGCTAGTTTCAAATACGTTTTAGTCTTAAATCTGTATGCTAGATATTGAATAAGGTGGTTTTATTGTTTTTTGTCACTTTGAATAATATTTCTGTTCGTGTTAAAAACAAAATCAACTCTCTGTATAAATATATCAGGTGACCCTTAAGTACCATGGGCCTCTTGCTAAATCTTCAATATATCTTTAAAGAGAGATGAGCATGCTTCTAAGTTTTATTGCTTTTTTTTTGTAAACCAATGTGTAATTACATTTGAGTCCTTAGGTTTAACAGTTTTCAAATACCAGGGTATATAGAACAATATTTATTTCAATACATCGAAATTGATGATTCATTTGCATAACAACAAGATGTTTTTACTGTAACATGAACTTGATGACCTTTGTATTGTTTCTAGAGAATCCTTAACATCGGATGACATTTTGGATGAGACGTGGGTGACAGTTTTTGGGTAAGTATTGTATTTTTAGGTCACCTGAGCTTTAGCTCAAGTGACCTATTGCTATCCGTTTTCGTCCGTAGTCGTCCGTCGTCCGTCGTCCGTCGTCCGATAACATTTTACATTTCAAACTTAAAGTCAAGTTCTGCTGGGCCGATTGAACTGAAAGTTGGTAGGAATGATCGACTCATGGTCCTGACAAAGTGTTGTTATTTTTCGGGTCGATCAGAAATCCAATATGGCCGCCACAGCGGCCGTTTTGAAAACCTATTTCAAACTAAAAGTCAAGTTCTGCTGGACCGATTGAACTGAAAGTTGGTAGGAATGATCGCCTCATGGTCCTGACAAAGTGTTGTTATTTTT